TTCAATATAATACCGTTCTTGCATATCATACATCATAATGTACAACTTGTAACACTTTGGTCGCAAAAGATTGGTATTTGCATTGTTCAATAATGCCAGCGAATAAAAATTTACAAGAATATTCGACTCCTCCGTCAAAGTGTTACACATACGCGCGTGTGTGAATATATATATGTGTATGTACGTATGTGTGTATATATATATATATATANTGTTAACAGTGGAGCTTCTCTGTCACACAATAATGTAACACAGTACTGTAAGAGGGGGCGATGTAGGAGAAGCAGAAGAGTGAGAGTGGGTAAAAGAGAGTAAAAGAGTGAAGAAATGGGAGGAATATTGTGTAAGAAGACGCATAAATAGTACACCAATGTGTGCACTCGTAATTATTAGTTCATAGTATTTGTAAAACTGTGTCTCTTCTCCTCTTTCCTTCTCCCCGCCAACTATACTAGAAAACGCGGAAAGCACCACTGTCTCTACTGCTCTCTTCCTCTCTTACTAATCCGGCTTCGAGTCCTTCAATGGGCTCAGTCTATTTTACATGTCTATGGTCACAAAACCACGATCGTCTACGAGATAATGCTCACGTTCAGCAGAAACAGCAGCTTATGCAACTATTTGCGAGAAATTTTCTGCTGAACGTCTGTTCGCGACTCGTATGTTCACTGAACGGTCGTTATTATCTCTATCTTCTATATCGGAGACGGAGCTTAATAAGCGCGTTGTGAAATATAAGCGAATACAATCCAACAACGGAGGAGCGTTCAGCAGAATTTTCAAACTGTGGACGGCGCGGCAAGAAGCGCTGACACAGTGACTGACTTTGCTGAACGCAGTCATTGATATCAATGCTACCGCGTTGAGCGCCAGATTTATAAAGAATGCAGTTGGTGCGCGAAGTAGAACATATATATATATATATATATATATATATACACATACATACATACACATACATACATACACACGCACACACACACACGCGCGCGCGCGCGCGCGCGCGGGCGCGTCTCAAAATTGGACCCTTTATGACCTTTGTTTCGATTTTGATATTGCAAATACATATAAACGCGATATTTGTTTACTAACATTGGTTGATTATCATGACATCAATCATGATCTGACATACATTCTGCTGATACGGTCGCTCGCACGCTCTCGCTTCACAGTATTTTCTATTCTAATTTATTTCCGACCAAATATTTAACATTCACGCATCTACGTGATAATATTTTCTTAATATAATTGTTTATCAAACAACAAAACAAATAATACTTATCTTGTTGCTATTAAACTATTTCGTTATATCAATCGATAATAGTTTGTCGTAATAATGTCGTTAATGTCCATAGAAAATTATAGTCATCAGTTTCGCAACATCGTATTTTTTGACTATAAATTCAACTTTCACTCGCGATATACACATTTCCATTAGTTATAAAGAAGAAATCACAACGACTTTTCATCGTTTATCACTTGGCAGTGTCCTTTTTCTCAAACGTTCACGTGGCTACGCAATTTTCGTTTCAAGTAAGTTCAACTCAATGCAACTGTTGTTACGAAATTCGGCTATTTTTGCGGAAAAATTGTCTTTAAGTCACGTAATTAAGTGGTCATATACTTTCGCTAGTTGATTATTATGCGAAGAAAATATTCTCTTAGGAAAATATATCAATATATCAATATATAACAAAGTTATTTTTCATTACGTATTTTCTGAATTATGAATGTCGAGTACCGCCGACATTAGCACTAACCAAGGTATACCGCATAGAGATTGCACGATCGGATTTACATGTCTTTTGTGTGTGCGTGTATGTGTATGCAGAGAAGCTTAAAAGAGGTATGAATTCGATTGAGCAATCTCCACGTACATCTTGGGTAATGCTAAAAACGACGGTACTCTAATATTCAACCCTCATAACCCGGGAAGTATTTAATGAAAAATTATTTTGTTATAATATTTTGAAAAGCTTTTGACACCGGCTATTAGATTACGGAATCAAAAATAGGGTGTCCCATAAAAAAAAACGACTTTAATCTGGCTTTTGTGACGCAACCTAAAGTCAAACTGTTAACATTACTAAATACATCACTCTATACCCTGCAACTTGTGTCTGAAACATTTTTCTCAAAAATGCATACTTTCCGAGATATTAGCCGTCCCGGAACATCTGAGACATTCTATATATGTATATATATACACATGTAAATACATATATATATACACGTATACACGTATATATTTATATGTACAAAATAAGAAATTAATGAATAAATAAATAACTAGCAAAATATTTCGTAAACGATTCGCCTACGAAAAAAAAAGAAGATAATCCATCCGATAATTTTGCACTTTTTGCAGTTGTTTTAGAGCTGATTAGGCTTTAATGTATAATTATCGTATTTCGATCATTTATATTATCAATATGTAAGTCATCAATATTAAGTTATCATCAATATTAAGTCGAATTAATATTTCAATTTGACGACAAATTTGGTAATATCATAAATTGAGCAGCTTTCACGCATACACATTTGCGTATGTTGCAGTTCTCACGAAATTTCTTCTAAAATTGTGCGATTCAAGCCCACACCGTCACGACGTCGTGTCGTGATCTCAAGTTCGTGCATCACTATTGACAGAACCAGAATGCCCGAAGAATCCAAGTGTATATCCAATTGATAAAGTATGTTACAGTGATAAGTGTTAATGCCACTACACGTACATAAAAGAGATAAAGGTCGAAGCAGTCGTAGGTAATGATAAAGAAAACAATATGGTAACCACATGTTACTAATTCTGCCATTCGCAGATTCGAAAAGAATTGCATTCGAAAAGAAAGAATCACCAAACAAAACAATACTATCGTTCGGTTTTGCAGGTGGACTCCGACCTCTCCTCAATTCAATCGAAACATTCACTCATGTTCTTCTATCATGGGGCGATCACAGAATAAATCATTCGAAAAGGTAAGGCCCACTAACAAATACGAGAGAGAGGCAGTATAGGAGAAAACGATCGTTCGCGCAAGAGAAGAAACAGAACTGTAACGATTGACAAGAGAAAAAAACCGAACCATCAGGACGTCATTGTGAGAAGCGAAGCTCTCGAGCTTCACCGGTCTCACGATGGAAATAACGAGCACGTCTACTTAGGATCGTAAGAATACCGTTACCGGGGACTCGAAGCAGCTGTAGTACTGTTGCGTCATAGAACTGCTATCTACTACACGACACAAGAATGAAACACAATGGCGAAGTGTCAGGGGCATCTATAGCTACGGTGAAGGCGGTGGAGGGGGAGGTGTGGCACGAGGTGGCGGGCCACACGGTAACGGTGGAGGAGGCGGTGGCGGCGGAGGTGGTAACGATGACGCCGTCGTGTTCTGCTGGACGGGCGGCTGGTGCATGACGTTCTGGTTCCTGCGAAGATTCTGCAGCATCGACGGTGGCGGCACTGACGTATCAATGGCGCCTTCCGGCGTCATTATAACACCTCCCGCCGGATACATGGACGATGTAAAGGGTTGTTGTTGTTGATACTGTTGAAATCGCTGGTAGAAAGCAGGATCGAACGCGTATCCGGCGGAATTGTACATAGCGTGCGACGTAGGGTAGTTAGCGAAGTAGTATTGATCCGCTTGGCCGGCGTGGCCACTCCTCGCGTACCCTAGCTCGCCGCGAACGGCGGGCGGAATCGCCGAGAGGGACTGATGGGGTGGGTAGGGAGGTTGATTGCGATTACTACCATAACTATCACGTTGATAGTAACCGTCGCCACTGCGCTGGCCGGAGGCTGCGTAAGGACCAGTGGCCAGTGGTGGGAGGGCGCGGCCGCTATAATGGCGGGCACCTCTACCACCTCCACGTACCTTATTACTGCTTCCGGAACTATAATGCCTGCCATTCTGCCGTTCTCCGGGTCGGTGGCCGTAGCTCGTCGCAGCTAACTGTGACTGCTTCTTCGTGGACGGCTGGCCGGTAGTCCCGCTCTCCTGGTCGGTCCGCTCACGTTTCCGACTCGCGCTTTCGCTTGTCGGCTCGGAGGCTGCGTGCGAGCCGCTCGTAGCACCGCTCGAACTGCTGCTCCCTGCCGTCGGTTGGAGCAGCGGCGGTGCTTGTGGCGATAGCGAGGTCGTCGGCGGCGCCGCGGAACTCCTGGAGATACTGTCGGTCCGTATTTTGATCTTCAGGGGTCCCTGAACGACCGGCTGCGCCGGTGAACTGGGCACACTGTCCGTCCCCTTAAGTCGCTCCTTCGGGATCTTGATTTTCAGCCCAGTATTCTGCGGTGACTTGTTCGACAGTGCCGCACTGTTACCGGCCGACGCGACGGTTACATTTGGCGACGCCTCGGTGCTCAAGTTCAGCTTATCCTTGGGGATAGTGATTTTAATGGGCGCCGCCGCCGGGATCTCTTCGCTCCGCTCTTTGCCCTTCTCTCGATGTTTCTCTTTGTCCTTATCCTTGTGCTTATGTTTGTGTTTCTCGCGGCTCTTATCCTTCTCTTTATGTTTTTTCTTCTTCTTTTTCTTCTCGATCTTATGATGATCCGATCGTTTCTCCTCAGATACGGGCGCTATCGGGGCAACGATCGGGAGCGGGACGGACATAAGCTCTGTGCCGCTCGATTGATGCGCGAGCGGCACACACGAGAGAGCACTCATGTCGACTGTCGAGATTATCGACGCGGTGTCACTTGCGGTCGACACAGATAAATTACTAGATGTGGTCATCGGGAATTGTTGGTTCGTCAGCAAATGAATAGTGGATTGCTGCTGTTGTTGTTGCTGCAGAAGGTCCGGCTGCATTTGCTGACTGTGAGTCGAGATATGTTGCATTGTTACTTGCAGCAACGATGGCATCGGGGCTAGTGGCTCTTGTAGTAACGCGCTGATGCTTTGCGCAGACTTCATCGGTGAGTATTCGAGCCTCGGCTGTTGCGAATGGGAATGCGATTGCTCGAGCTTCACGTTGACCGGCTGCTGAATCCTGTGCGGTTGCTCCTTTTTCACGTGTTGTTCTAAACACTCTTGCTTTATCACTGGGTTCGAATCCAAACCGTTCGTCAGTGCCTGCATGCTCATCGATGCCACTTTGTGCTGCGTTATCGTCGCGTTTAGACGAGGCACTGTCGCGTCCAGCTCGTATTTGACGAACTGCTCCGTCGGTGGCTTCACATCTGCGCCGGTAATCGCCGAAGAACTGGCTTGGCCACTGCTCGTCGATAGCGGAGCGTCGCGAATCGGTTGGATCAACTCAGGTACGCGACCGAGTATCCTCATAGCCTCCAAGCTAGATGAATCCTCGGTCTTTACTTTCACCGGATGTTCGCCGGTGTTTTCGCCGGTACTGGTGGTGCGCGGCCTTTTGTGTGGCACTGTATTGTCGCTGGACGACCGCTTCATCACCAATGAGTCCTGTTGCTGCGATTCCATTGGACTCGTGAACGGCGACACGCGCTCTTGCTTTATAGCCCTCACCGCCGGTGTCTTCTGTTTCGACTTGAGCTTCTGCACATGAGGCTCTCTCGTGGTCGGCGTTTCCGGGCTGAAAAGTGACCTATGTCGGCTAGTAGGTGGCGTCTGTTGCTGCACGTCGACGGAGATTTTCTCGGAGTCGTCATGAATCCTTGGCCGTTTCTCCAGCTTAGTATCGTCCACATTGTTTAACGTGGACAAACACGGCTGAGAGCTGCCGTTCTTGATGGTGTCTTTCAGGATTTGAGACACGCCGTAAGCCGAATGCTGGTTGTGCATACTCCTGGCCGGCGTGCTCTTCTGTGACACCTGAGGCATAACAGTGGAGGCGGCTGTGGGCGCGCTGGGCGACTTATCCTGTGTCAGCGCGCTCTGTCCCATCGCTGAATGTTTCGCTTCGACCGCGTGCGAAGTGCCCAATGATTTCTCGTATTTGCTATGGTGCGCCTGTTTTTGCGCATTCAACATATACGGTGCCTCCGTTGGTTTCGGTGGCAGCGGTAGCGGCTTCTCGATCAGCTTCCGTACCTCCTCGCATCTCTGCTCCAACGTGTCCGACTTGCGTCGCTGTCGGTCCACCCTGGAGGCGAGATCCGTGTACTTATCGCCGTATGCTTTCGGCTCGCCGTCCTTTTTGTGCTCTGTCGGTTTGCTACGCCTGAGCTCGTGCATCCTCTTATCGTATGGCTGCTGCTTACCGTCGAGCGTGTTCAGCCTGTGTAAGTTGTAGTTGTTGTTGCTCGACGGCTTTTCTTGCGAATTACCGTGGCTCACGTTCTGCGCGGCCCCTACATCCGCTTGATGAGTTGCAACATCGACGGCAGCGTCCAAGCTAACGTCTCTCGACGGATGCGCAACACTACCGGTACTTGTGCCACCGATGTATTCCCTCGGTAATCTCTGCCGGTTAGGATCGCGGCTGGTCTCCCTGATTTGCGTGCCGGCCGAATGTCTCTGCAAGACCGGATTCACCTTCACGTCGGGCCGGTGGTGATGATTATGATGTAACCCCGATTTTTGCATCGACGGCAACTGGTGCTTGTTCGGCATATTTGTCACGAGTTTGTGGTGATGGGAGTGATGCTTGTTGGGATCGGTGATGTGACCCTGCGTGCTCATTGACGCGAGCGCGCTTTTCTCTCGCTCCAAGCGCTCGCGCTCTTTCTTCTCCCGATATTCGCGGTAGTCGATTGGCCTCGCTGATGATGAGGTCGCGCCTTTCTCGTCTCCCGGCTTCTCCTGCTTCTCCTGCGAGTGATGTGGTCGGCTCGCGTGAGAAGTAGAAGGTCCGCCATCCGACGTTGCGGGCGATTGGATCTTATGCGGCTCAATATCCTATATAGCGAAAGAAATATCAGTCTCCGCTCCAAAATAGATTTTTATTCGTGAGATGTTCGTTGCACGTTCCGTGAAATTACTTACAAATGGGGAACCCGACAAACTCGGATGGTGCATGCTTGGGCTCCGGCCTTTAGCGGCCTGACTTAACTTCGACGAAACTTTGCCGAATATGTGAAGAAATTCTAATGTTAGCTGATGCAACAATTCCGCAGTTACGGCCTTATCCACGTACCAGAACCAAGGTTTCCCTTCATTACTTTGTGGTATCTGTGCGGAAAAAAAGACAAGTAATCGTTAGAAGCACGATCGATATATGTTAATTTTGATACGGCATAATTAAAATCTACGTAAACCGATATAAAAGCACGATGAGTACAACTGTTTTCTACCGATTGCTTCATATTTTTTATTATGAATTTTTAAAGTGTTCTTGATTTTTTGAGAAAAATAAAAAAAGATTGTGACCACTTTGTTTTACTACAATGTTTTACATTATTACAATCTTTTGCTCATTCAAAAGATATAGTTCTATATAAATTCTTTTATTAGTCTATATAGAATAAATTATATAAGAAAATTTATGTTGTATAATTTGTTCTATAATTTATTATATATCGGAAATATAGAATATTTCGTATCACATCTTTCTATAATTTTATATATACATAGAAGAGAAAGTGATATTATAGCCCTTGCAGATATTATGAACCCCTTCTTAAGTCCACATTTTTACCAATTTTTACCAATTTCGGTTAAAGTTAATCGACGGTTAATTCAACGGAATTGACCAATCACATCGATCAGTTTAGCTAATTTTTAGATTATTAATTAACAATTAATTAATAATTAATTATTTAATTTTAAATTAGCTAATTGACTAATGCGATTGGTCAATTCCGTTGAGTTAATCAGTCGGTTAGGTTAACCGAAATTGGTGAAAGTAGCCCTTACGGTGACTCACCAATTCTGGTTAAGTCAAACAACGGTTAACCGATGCTTAAACGACTAATCGCATTGATCAGTTTAGCTAATTGACCAATGCGATTAGTCGTTTAAGTGTCGATTAACCGTCGATTAACTTAATCGGAGTTGGTGAAAGTCATCCTTAATATCTCTGCTATTAGGTAATGGATTTTAATGATTACTACGAAATCATTTGTTTAGTAGCCCGCCGTTATACGGTGGCGTTAATATGCCAATACACAATAGCTGTCATTTGTTATAATGCATTATTACTTTCGAGCATTTCGAAATGTTTTCAATACACATTTTATCATTTAATTACACATACTTCCTCATTCTTCTTAAACTCAAGCGTGTTGTCACACGAATATACATACACTTAAATATTTGGTTTGTTATTTAAAATTTTTTCTGCTGTATATATTTCGAGTTAATGTTAAACAATAACACGGCATTTTGTTAAATCGGCCTTCCACTAAAATAGATTTAACATAGCCTTATTTTCGAGGTTTTCATGTCGAAGTAGTTATTCGATAAGACAATAATACAAGTTAAATTAAAAAATCTATTCCTTTTGTAAAAACTGTCCTTTTAACAGTTTATATTTACCTTATAACAGGTAAGTCACTATTTACATTAAAAATTCACGGTTATATTCATTGTTGATTTTCCTAAGAGAGTTTATTTTAAATAAATATATAAATTTGTTTAAACAGTGTTAAAACAAAACACTGTTTTTGTAAACAAAATCAATGTTTTAAATCTATTTTAGTAGAGGGCCACATTATCACCTCTTCGAACCATTATGCAGTGTCGCAACATTTTTATAAATAATGTTCTAAATAATAAATATTTCATAATTTTGAACTTAAAATTGATTGAACAATATTTTGGCAAGTACAATCGTTAAGTTTTTAATTTAAAATATTGATTATTGACAAAGTTATTGTACAAAATTTAAATGGAGAGCTATAATATCATTTTCTCCTCTATATATAAATTACGCAAGGAGAAAGATTAGCCAGTTACAAAGAAATTCAAAATATCTGTATCAGTAGAAACATCTGTTGATGGAAGATTAATAAAGAAAGAGGAAAAATGCTAATGTAGAAAATTATATTGGAAAAAATATTTTTGTTAGAAAGTTGTCTCTTGTCTCAAAGCTATTATATAATCATTTAACAAATTTCTTTTCACGTTTTCTAATACGATATATTTCTCGTTATTTTATATTCCTTTAACTATTAGACCTATATTCTGAACGCGCTTACAACAATGTTAGCGCGTTAATATGTCAACCCCTTGACATACAATGACGTCTGGGAGACGTCATTCATTTCATGTACCATTGTAGACTTTGACGTCTCCGAGACGTCAAGAATTGTCTCCGGTGATGTGCAATATATTATTAGATTATTCAATTATTTCACTTGTGATTATTGAATTATTTCACAAGCTTGCACATAACTGTTCATTGAGCAAAATTAAATAGTATTTTTCGGACGCATCAAATTCCGTTTTATTTGTATGTCAAGGGGTTAATAGTTGAATAGGAATTTTGCTATAAAAACGTATATGATAATTTCTGTGATAATTTCTTATCTTGTTAGTACGCTAACGTCGTTGAAAGCACGTTAAGAATGCGGACCTTAAGGGGATTTTCGGTCTTGAAGCTTCAAAAAATCGATTTTTTTTTGTATTTTTCGAAAGTTTATAATCTTAAGAATAGCCCATAATATCATTATTGCCTGTCGGGTCTTGAAAGTTAACATAAATGTAAAAAATGGCGACAAGTAGAAATTAATGGAAAGCTCGAGACACTTACGCACGATGTATCTCTTGACAAAAAAAGTTTTAGAATGCATAAAACCAATTTAAGAAAATTTGTCTTCGAATAATTTATTAGAAAGATGCCTCGGAGCACATACTCAAAACAATATTGAATCTTTAAATTCATTAATATGAACATTCGCCCCTAAGCATATTTTCGCCAGCAGAAGAGTAGTTGACATCGCCAATTTTTTAACAATTAATATCTTCAACGATGGATTAATAAATGTTTTCAAAATAATGGAGGTAATTGGCATAACCATTAACAGCACAGCCTATGATTTTGCCATTACGCAGAACAACGACCGTCTCAAGTGCTCGGAGCATCACGTATTTTCGAGCTCCAAAGAAGCCAGAATTGATGCTCAGAATATCACAGAACAAAATTTTTGAAGAAGATTCCCTTTATGGTCCTGGCTAGGAATGACTGATTAAAGGTAAGTTCAAAAGTTTCGATATATTGTCACGAAAAATATTTCATTAAACTTGAAATTCGTTTTTCTCAAAACCATGTTTTCGAACATGGATTTAAAAAAACTACTTGTCCGATTGGCTTCCGCTCTTACAGTTATATTCAACAAACATGCCGTTATCGCTTGAAATAGAATAATTTAGAATCAGTATAAACCGATTTTTTCTATTGTTTTGGAAGTCAAATAAGAGAAAAAAATGAATAAAATTGGAACTATTTTTTTTTAATTACCGCCGTGATTGAAAATATGCATGCGATATTAATAATCTTAGTTTAAAAGAAAGTCACAAGTCCATAAAAAAAAAACTGAACTTTTTATTTTCAGAACGGCACGACTTCCATTTTGTCTACCGTTTGACTATACTTGCAGTTTTAATTTCATATAAGACTATAATTCATATTAAACTACGTAATTGGAATAAAAATAAAAATATTTATTTTTAATCTACATTGAATATACTTTTTAACGATATATAGTCTTTTAACATCTTAATTTTTATGTATAAAAAAATCGCTGAAAATACGTTTCTGAATTCGCCTCTTAAGACCGGACCCTTTAATCTTTAAATTCTTACAAACTTTCTTAACATATTATAGCATCACACACCATCTGAATAAAAAAAAAAAAAAGATTTTTAAGATTGGGATTGAACTATTCTTTATGGTTTGCAACAGGCTTGTTGAAAAAATAAACGGATTTTTTAGATTAACCACTTGAATAGCACACGTACAATAGTATACACCAGTGTCCGTCCCAAAAGTGGTACGCGCACACTATTGTACACTCTTGCATCAGAAAGAACCTCATTTCTACATTAAAAATGTAATAATGAATTTAGAAAGCCACTAATTTTATGTTTTCAATATCAAGGAATATGAATTTTATATCAAAATTAAATAATTTTCAATCCCCAATGCACTGTTTTCTGTTTAATACGTACCTTAATTCAGTTTATTTTCTTAGATTTCTTTTTTTTATTAACATTGATTTGGGGATTAAAATCAATGATATATACATTGATTTGGGGATTAAAATTATGTTTTCATAGTTTTTGTTTTATTTTTAAAACAAAAAACAAAAGGGTGTAAAATCATATACGTTGCAGTCGCATCGTGGTACACTTCGAGGTTGTGATTCACATTATCAGCAAATGCACAAAGATAAATTGCTTATAATTTCCGAAAATATTTATTAAAATTTCATTTGATACTTGTTTTTTTTTTAACACTTTGCGGGCCGCGCATTTATCGAAGCGCCGTTACGCTGCCGCCGGCGAGATTCACGCAGGTTCTACTGCTCGCCTTCAAAAGTCACGCCAGCGTGACAGCGGCCGATAACCGTTGGCGAGCAAAAGTCACGTCAGCGTGACAGCGGCCCGCAAAGTGTTAACAAAAAAAAATATTATGGAAGCATAATTTTAAAGCATAATTAGTCTTCAAATGAAAATATAGAAAAAAAATCTAATAAACAAACTAAATTAAGGTACTATTAAACAGAATACAATACATCAAGGATTGGAAATTACTTAATTTTGATTATTTTTATTATTATTATTTAATGTAGAGAAAAAAATCTAATAAAACAAACTAAATTAAAATTCGTATTAAATAGAAAATAGAAAATAGTGCATCAGGGAATGAACATTATTTAATTTTGATATAAAATTCGTACGCCTTGACATCGAAAACATAAAAGTAGTGACTTTTTACATTCTGTAATACATTTTTAGCGAAGAAATAAGGCAAGTTCTTTCTGACGCGAGAGTACGCAATACGTTGGTTGTTTGATAAGTTTCAAATATGAACAATGAAGATTGTATCACTGGTCGGAAACTGTTGTGAAATATGAAAGCTGCATCTTTTTAAAGGCTGCTCCTAAATTTTCAGCTATATGCGACGCTTTGTTTTGTTTTGATAATTAGTTGTAGTACGCGTGTGTTTATATTTATATATTTATATTTTTCAACGATGGAAAAATTAAATATCGTTCCGTAATTAAATACTTGAATTTAAAAGGGAAAATACCAATGGAAATCAAAACCGAGTTGGATTCTGTTTACGGTGACTGTGGTCCTTCGTTTTCAACTGTTAAAGTTTGGGTTGCCGATTTTAAACGTGACCATACAAGAGTGTTTGATGATGAACGTCTACAAACAGCAACAACTGAGGAAATGGTCGACAAAATGCATCAAATCGTACTGGATAATCAGAGACTGAAAGTCAGAGAAATAGCAGATGCTATAGGCATATCTTCTGAGCTATGTTCAAAATATTACATGAAGATTTGAGTATAAGAAGGCTGGTTGCGCGATGAGTGTCGCGTTTGCTGACATTAGACCAAAAATGCATTTAATACAATATCTCAAAGAAGTGTTTAGATTGGTTCAAGCGGGATACAGAGGATTTTTTGCATTGATTTGTGACTGAAACTGTGATTTGTTGATGAAACATGGATTCACCACTATACCTGAGAGAAAAGAACAGTCAAAACAGTGGATTTCATCAGGCGAACCAACTCTAAAAAAGGCAAAGACGTTTGGCCGGAAAGATTATTTTTGGCGACTGTTTTTGGGGATAGCCATGGCATATCGCTTATCGATTATCTTCAGAAAGGAAAAACTATCACCAGTGAATATTGTGCACCATTATTGGAACGTTTGAAAGAAGAAATCGTAGAAAAAACAACAGCATTTGAGAAAGAAAAAAGTACTTTTTCACTAGGACAACGCACCAGCTCACACATCCGCAATCGCTATGGCCAAACTGCATGAATTACGCTACAAATTAGCCCCCCCCCCCCCGTACCCACCTAGTCCTTTGTAATTTTTTCGTTCCCGAAAAAATGGTGGAGAGGAGAAAAATTCACGACCAATAATGAAGTGAACGCCGTAAACGAGTATTATGCAGGACGCTAACTTTTACTGATGGAATAAAGGGACTAAAGAAGAGATGGACCGAGTGCATCGAGCTAAAAGGAGACTATATTGAAAGATAAAATCGATTTTGCCTAAAAATATATGTTTTACTGTTAGGCTCGAAACTTATCAAACAAGCCTTGTAATGCACGCGTGCCATTTATAGGATGGACACTGGTGCGCACTATTGCACGCGTGACACTCAAGTGGTTAATACTTGTTTCATTTCTTATGAATATTTAAAACTTATGGATTTTCATGGATAATACTGACTTTTCCTCATAAATATATAAATATGTGTTATAGAAAATGTTTCTTACCTCCCATTCAGACCATTTACATGTCAAGTGTATGCAGAAGCAGGCAACAACCGTGGGTTTATATTGCAGACACATTGTCGTCAAATGTAAACTGAAAGAGTATTAATAAAATATTAAATACAAGAATTTGTATAGTCTGTAAATAAATAGTGGATTATTTGATAGTTGTAAAAGTCTACATAAGTTAAAATCTAATAATAATACATAAAAGGCGAAACAAATACATGTATCAATTATATAAATATCAATAAAGAGGTAAATCTATGAAATTATTGTTATACTATAATTTTATGAGATTTTGATAAAATATAACTATAAAGTTATGAGAAAATCATAAGGAAATTTCATATAAAATTTATAGTTTTTTTTATGTAACATTTATATAATATATTTAGCGGATTTTACTTATTCTCTTCACATATTATATATAATATATTCATACTATTAATATTATACAATTATTATATCCTGAATATATAGGTTTGAAAATTAATTTTAAAATATATTCTAAGTGATATATCTACACGGTCTTAAGGTGATAGAAATAAGCCACTTATTTTGAAAATGATGCAAGTTCTATTTTGAAAAAATCAATAATTTGGTTACTATATACTAACAAATAAATATGAATTTATTTTTTGAAACAAATCAGCAATCAAAGAAAAATATCTATGCTTTATCTAATATGTTATAGACAACAAAATTTAGTCATGGAAAGAAATAGAAAATATACTTGTATTGAAAATAAAGTTCTGCATATATGATTTTGAACAATGTATTTAAATATCTTTGAGAATGATGCAATTAAATACCGTAATAATATATTTTTATCTAAAATGCATTTCAGTACAGCCAATACTTCAAATCTACAAATACATAACACAAACTATAGATTTGCGATACTGGCAGTGAATACCGGAACGCAATTTAGCGTTCACAGTACCAGAAAAACGTTATTGAAAAAACTCTAATTTTAAAACAGTCGTTAAAATATATATGTAAATAGATATTAAATTATTAATGAAAAATATATAATAAAAATTATGTTACATATCAAAACTTGAAATAAATAAATATTAATATTATATATCATCTATCATATTCTGTCAATGAAAACATTCTTAACTAAATCAAAATAAGAAATAATTTGTATAACATGATCCTCCGTATGTATGAATTTTAAAAATGATGTAAGTTCACATACAGTCAGAATTCTCTATTTTTATCTCTCGATGTTATATCAAAAGTGATATTGGAGAAACTATTTTATGGTTATACAAACAATATGAAATTATATGATTTATTTAGTTATTATATACTATAAATAAGTTGAAATGTAATCATTTGAATATCTCAAAACAGAAAAAATAAATTTACTTTTAAAATAGACGTATCAGATAACAAATAATGCAAGATACCTATTAGATGCCATCAAATATGAAGTCTGGGCCAGATCCTTGCTCGCTAGAAGAATAAAAATTGATTATAGCCAACGGTAAGATATTTGATGAATTAAAATATCTGATAATAATTTATACAAATATTAACTATACCTTTTACTAATTGGCAACATCTAACAATATGTGTATGGGGATGATCGATGGCAACATCAAAACCTAATGTTTGTAGAAGGACATTTTCGTTGAACACTAGGTTTTGAGCTTGTTCAGTGTATTGCTGAAATGACAAAGGTAAATAGTAGCTATAACTAGAGCTATAACTAGAGCTATAACTAGAATAGGAATAGTCTGATAAAGATCGTAGCAAGTTTTAATGCAGATCAATATCCAAACTTACATCAGACTTGACTTCAGGAGGACTTGAGTTTCTGTGAAGACACATATGTGCCATTTTGATAACATGTTCTAATTTTCTTGGCTGCTCCTCTACCTTTGCTGCTAAAAAGAGCGCAGTCACCGCAATGGCATTCCTATGGAACTGCGTAAACGAGTGGTACACGTAAAACCTGTGCATGTATACTATGGCCGTGTTGATGCATAATTGTGATCTGATTTTCGTAAAGTTAAGGAAAATTCTCAGAAATATTACTGTGAAGGATCTGTGCGCAAAAAGGGATGAAAATTAATGGAAAAAAAGGATTTTGAACGCGTTACCGGTGTATCGGTGTACCATTCAACAGATTATTCTAATTAAAGGATATTTTGATAACATTTAAATCCCCTTTTTTATAATAATTAACATATCTAGTGGAAATACTTAATGCCTATTGTGCATCACCAGATATCATAAACGATCATCAAGTGCCTTTGAGAGTTCGTTCTCCATTCATAATACTATTTCTAACAAAATTCACACACAAGTTATGATAAAGAAGAAGAAAGTCTTTCTAATGTTTGTAATGTTTCCTAACAATAAAAAGATATATATAAAGTTTTGCTTTTTTACAATCTCCATCTTCAAAGAAGATGGTGAAGAAAGCAATGGTAAAACAAATGCACAGCAAGAGTTAGTATCAATGTTATTTAAATTTTTATATAATTAGATTAAGTGGTAAGATCAGAAAATAGAAGATACAATAGTTTATATATAAAATAATTTATTTTTTCAAGTTTTACATCCATGTAAGATAGTTGATGTGACGAATAGTCGATTCTTCTCGTCCATCCATATCAACAATTTAATGTTACGAGAACAACATTTGTAACAAATGTGACTACTGATTATGAGTTATTTAGTTCTGAAGCTTACTGAAATTTATTGATATATTAGTGAAAGAGAAAAAGATATAAAGTATATAAAATAACAAAACCGTTAACACATCATAACAATTTCTTTGTCTGATTACAGTGAAAATAATTGGGTAATAAGATAGACTCGATTATAAGAGTTACTGTTGCTTAACAAGTTGCAAAGTTCCTTCGACTATGTACAAACAAGCGTTACAACTGTTACTTTTCAGATACTCAGGAATGTATCCTTGTAGATTTACGTAACAAACTGCAAAAGACAGCCCCTTATTGAAATTCAAGAGAGTCTTCTCGACGTTTCTAGAAATCAGATTAGAAACCTATGATGCAAACCTAACATCTAGAGCATGTAGAAAGCACCTAGAAACCGAAACTTAGATCTTTTTTACTTGTTCCATCATTGCAATACACGAAACAGAAACAAGCAATGCTAGTAAGGAGAATACCAAAAAGAATGTATGGGGAAATTTATAGCCGCTGCAGTTCTCTGCAAAATTAAAGCTCAGTTTGGCTAATAAGTTTTGGCCTTTCTCTCTCTTTCTCTCTGTCTTTCTGCGAGCATGACCCTATTCTCTGATCTCCACTGCATCGACATACACGCCCGAGAGTACAACATTGGTGTCAGAAAGAACATGGCATTTCCCACAAATGTCTGTCCTCGTGGGCAGCGTATGTTTCGCGAGAAATTCCACGAGAATGACCGTTTATGATATCTGTGACGCATCGGACTCCAATATGGTGTGTCCTGCGTCTCCCCGCACGCCACCCATGCTGACGCCATGCGGGATAAAGGCGCCGATATCGGGTCTCGTTAAGACACGAATATCTCTCTCTCTCTCTCTCGAGTAAATAGGCACGTGGGCACGGAGAACAACGCGATCATCATGGCACGTCATCAGATGGTGGTGCTTCAGATCCGTGCAACGTGAGAAAATTCACGGGAGAGTGCGCGCGCGGTTTAGGACAACGAGATACGCGTCCAGGAAAAGCGACATGACTCTACTCGAGCGTGAGTATTTTACGTTTCAGAGTGCGTTGCGAGTTTCGCGAGTAAAAAAAAAAAGGATACACCATGAGCCGCTGTCCCATGTCCTGAATGAAATTGGCCGCCTGCTGGCGGTAGCTTAGTTCCTTATCCGCCTCGATGCCGCATCTTCTACTCGGCGTATTTGCGAGCTGTTCCTTCGAGAAGTACCATTTCTCGTTGGTCGCCATTTATATGTACACACAGCTCTCTCTCAGTCACTAAATGCACACTTCACGGCGATTCGGCCGTGGACTGGCCAGCGGGGTGCGGAGGGCGGAAGATACACTCGATACGCACTACCACACAGCGCGTCGTCCCGCAGTCTACTTCACACTACTCACGGCGAGGAGATCGAAAATGGCGTGCGTCCTGCACCGAAGGTGCGCGCTTATTACACCTTCGCGACCTATTATGTACGTGATAACGGAATGACCCGGCGTGTATCGTCGTTCGAGCAGCAGAGCGAGATTATTATTCTCAAGTGCGAGAAATTCGCCGTCTCAGGTATATGCAAATCTTTCTCTTGTTCTCGTTAGAAACAGCACGCGCGTTCGAGGTGGCCACTTGGAATAACGGAATCTCGAGAGGTGCTTCCACTTTGCCGCTAACTTCTCGCAATCCGGACCAACACCGATCGTTACAAGGACAACTTCGAGGATCCGCGATCCGGCATAATAATAATGAAACGTGTGCTGCCTGTATACGCGTTTGCGTTACGAGGGCGTGTGAAAATGTCTCATGAACGTCGTCGCGTCTCGTAGACGCAGCGCATCGTCATCTGCCCGAACATGCACCCACACCTCGACGTAACGCTAGTAGACATTACTAGTTCCGTAACTTGTGGAAATACAGGTGGGCCGTTGTTGTCCTTCGTCAACGGCACGTGTTCACGGGGCCTCCTGTTCTTCCTGTGGCTTTACGGATGATGGTCCCCGCGGAATTCTCCGCCAACGAATTCGTTCGTCTTTCGACAGCAAATACGCGTCGTCAAAACGCTCGTACGACGTGCGCGCAGTCTGTGCCCATCAGCGCAGCAGCACCTTAGCTCACCGGTCGCGGAAATGGCGCCACCTTGCACGAGACTGTTGGTTTGTTCTTTGTAGCAGAATTGGCTGCACAAGTTTAAGAAATCTAAGGTACATTTTTATGGTAGCGTCAAGCGTCAAACGTCGGAGCCAATCAGCAGACAATCCACGTTTGACTCTTGTCTGCTGATTGGCTCCGATGTTTGACTCTCGATGCTACCAAGAAAAAGTACTTTTACATACACATTAGGTCTGTTTTTTTTCGCTACACTAAAACTGCACTAGAACTGCACTGAACTGAACTAAACCGCCCTGGGAAAGACTAGTACAGAATAGTTCAGTGCAAAGTGCAATGAAGAGATCTGTTCGTTTTCGCCGCACCGCTGAAACGCTAGAGTGTAGTAAACAACACGGCGCATCACGTGGCATTATTTGATTCTTCTGACGAAAAGGATTTTGTTGTAATACAACCACTATTACATAGCAAATTTATTAATAATTTATAATATTAAATACCCTACCGATCATAAATTTAAATAAATGACTAAATATAAAATAAATATAAAATTATAAAGTAATGTATCTTGACATCTTAAATTCATCCTTGTGATATGTTTAAACATTTCTGCTGTGTATGTGTGTGTGATAGTATAATATTAACAATTTTAGAAAATGAAATAAGAAAGATGTTTCACACATTTCAATAAAACGCCAGCCACGTAGAGACTTTTCGTATTTCCGTTACGTTTACATGTACTTCCAAGCTACA